TCTCGCCAACCCTAAGTTCAGTTCTTGAAAATGACCCAACTCCTAAGAGGCATCATCAGGGCTGGAACAGCATTGTTAACATTTGTGGACAAGACCGATGTGCTGGTTTCACCATCATGCACATTTCATGTGCATTAACTTGGGTCACAGGCAGTGTGGTGCCCGCTGGGATCCCCTCAAGGATGGAGGCACTCTCTCCCCCACCTGCCAGGACTGTAGGCTATAGCCGTCCTCACCCCAAGGGAACTGCCTCATGCCTGAGGTCATGCCCACTCTCCAGGAGGAGCCCCATTCAGTGATGAGTGGGTATCAAAGGTCTGGGTCCCTTATCTCAATGAGACAACCATGAGGGGCACCCCACCCCCACACCACCATCCTCCACAAGGCCAACTGCGACCTTAGCTGCACCTGCATCTCCTCCACCATCACCTTCTTTCCATCCTGCTTCCCTCAGTCCCCCCGACCCTGGCAGCTGTCTCTCAGATACTCAGCAAGCAAATCTTCATCTCTCAGCCTGGGTCCCTACAGCCAGCCTATGCCATCTTGTATGCATAAAACCCTCAAACAAGCACTATTTTTATCCCCATTTTACTGATAAGAATACAGAAATTCAAAGAGGTTTAAGTCATTTGCCTAATATTATGCAGCTAGCAAGTAATGAAATGAGAAACACATGGGCATCCTAAGCTGTCATTGGCCATACCCCTCACCTTCCAGTACTGCTCATGCTGTGACTATCCATGACAACCTGCACATAAAACTTTATTCTGGAAAAAATTAAGCAGCAGATATGCCTTTCTTCCTTCAAGGGCAAGGTCTGCAAGCCAGAGGAGAGATTTTCAGATAGAAAGAATTAGGATGTAATTAAGAGGTAGGGTCTTAAGAACCTAAATGCTGGACCTGGGAGGAAAGAGACCTGCTGTTCTCACAAGACCAGAAAAACATTTAGAGAGGACAGTGATGAAGGCAACTTATGATACAGCTTCCCAGGTCCTTCCTAGGATGTATCTGATTTAACGGAACTATACCAGGCCCCAGAGCTGTATGCTTTTAACAAGAATTTAAGTGATGCCCTTCAGAGGAAGCTGGCTGAGTGGGCCATAGAAGAAAAGGGTAGAGACATCCTAGTGGGGTTTGTTTTGAGCTGTGCAAGGGATGCAGATGGGAAGTAATCAAAAGTTTTCCTAAAGAACAGAATGAAACATATTTAACATCAAAGTTGTTTGAATGAGGTTGTCTGAAATGTGTAGATTTCAGAAAGTTGTTGACATTCTGCCCAAGCCAGCACCCTAAATGCTGCCTGTGTTTTGAGAGGAAGAACATGACAGAATTTTGAGAGATGCTAACTACAGGGAGCACTGGCTGAACCAAAGCAACAAACTCTAGGGCCTGGCATTGCCACCAGGGCCAAGAGATGTGGGTCCTGCTCACACCTCCACCAGTCACTCTGCTGGGCCCCTTAGCTGATCATTGTCACCATGGCCACACAAGACGAAAGATATCTGGGGATCACAAGGCCAATTGGCTTTATGTCTTGTACACTCAGGTGCATACCAGAATCAGCAGGGAAGCCCACCATAGCAAGTTCACAGTCCCAAGCTCTACCAGTGAGTGAATCGATAAGAAATCCCAGGGTTCAGGCCTGGAATCTGTATCTACACAATGCTTCGTGAGATTCCAAAATACAAGTAGTTCATGTGCTAGAATTTGTAAATAGCTGCGTATAACCTCTGAGATCCCTTGTGTTATGGTTTGTGTCTAGATGTCCCCCCAAAGCTTCATGCAATCATGAGGAGCCAGTTTTTCAGAGGTGTGAAAGTGAAAACTTCAGAGGTGAATCTAGAGTGTGTGATTGATTTAGAGTAGTGTCGAATTTAAGAGTGCTGGGATTAGGGGTGGGTAATTGCTGGATCAGTCCACTGATTTGATTGGCACCACACTAATTTGCATAGACAGTATAATAAAAGACTCTGACTCTCTCTCTCTCTCTGTCTCTCTCTCTCTCTCTCTCTTGCTTGTGTTGTCTTCCACTGCCATGAATGTTGCCCCTCTGCCAGGTGCCACTCTGCCTTGGAGCCAGCTGATTATGGACTAAAACCATCACAAACTGAGCTAAATAAACCTTTCCCTCCTTAACTTTGGGTGCTGGGTATTATTTATTCTTAAGGTCATTCTCTTTTTAAAACAACTTGGATGAAAAGATACATGGATATGAGTGAATACCTGGATCATTCTCCTTCTGTTCTAATCATTCAACAACAAAGCCAAGTAACAAGTATTCATTATGTACTTACTACAGTACAAGCATTGGAGATTAAGTGGTAAACACACAAGATAAAGTCCCTGACCTTATAAAGCTTACAGTCTAGTAGATTCCAGGAAATGTTCATTCCTTGGTGTTGTAGTTTGAATTTTTATAATACAGGGCATATATTTTATAAGATTATGTATAATAGTCACCCAAAGAGTCAGAAAGTGCAGGAAATCTGTACAGTATACACACTAAAGACAAGGAATCCAGTGGAGGGTCTAGATCCCATGATAATGTCCTGCAAGAATCCAAATGAAGATTTTGAGCCCATAACAATGCCTCACACGATGCCTCATAACAATGCCAACTGGAGGCCAAGAGCCATGACAATGTCTCACACAGGCATTTCATGGATTTCATGGGTCTGCACTGGGAAAGCCCAAAGGTCAGTGGTAGAAGCCAGAAAGTCTGTGCCCTCAGGATCAAGGACCTGTGCTAGCAGGCTGAGGGAGCTGCACTGCAGCCAGGACATAACAGTCAAAGAAAGAACCAGAGCTCCCCTGAAAAGTGTCACAGCCATCCTCAGTGACAATGTGGTCCTGAGCGCCTCTGATGTTGAGAACAGCCAAGTTCCTGTCAGGAAAACCAACCCAATGAGCTTCTGCAGGAGAATGAGCTGTGTACCATCTTTGCCTCTGGATACTCAAGGTGAGGACCAGAGCTCCCCTAAAGTGAACCATAGCCAATCTCAGCAACAATGAGGTCCCCATCTTTTGATGACATGAACAGCCAAGTTCATCAGGAAAACCAGCGTGACAATCTCCAAAAAAAAAAAAAACCCAACAGAGCCAGCAAGATAGCTCAGTGATCTAAAGTGCCTGCTTAGGTAAGCTTAGGCAGGAGCAGGGGACCACAGTTTGATCCCCAGTACCACATGCCATACCAGCCCCACCCTCAGGGCAGGGCTGAGCTGACAAAAAAAAAAAAAAAAAAAAAAAAAAACCTGACAGCTCTCAACAACCACCCAACAGCTTCCTCAGTTCCTCCTCCCTAGTTCTGCCTCGTATATGGCCAGTAACAATCTTCAGGTGGGCCCCCCACCCCAGCACTATGCTAGCTCAGTTCAACTGGGTATTATACATTGACCACCAGCTGGCAATCCACCACACTTTGTTTTGGTTTGGTTTGGTTTCAATTAACCCCTGGACAACAAATAAATACTCTACTTCTATTTTCATGAAGAATAAAAATAACAGTAAAAATTCTTTTACAAATCTCTTTTTGCAGGATAGGTGTATACATCTAGATGTCATCTTTAAAACAAGAAAAGCACACTGCTTTCTAGGGAAGTGAGAACCCATGAACTCTCCTCTCCCATCCATCTAAATTAAGACCGCCACCTCTTATTGGACTGAACACTAATTGACATAAGTGAGGACATTGAGGTTTGCCTTGGGAATTGAAAGATGTTATTTATCAAACCACTTATGGTCACCATGTGACAGCTGATTTTTCTCTTCCTCTTTTCCTTCTCTCATACCACTTTAGTCTTTTTAAGAAAAATAGTCAGAAATAGAAGGCGGAGAATGGGAGCAGGGAGAGAGTGAATTAAAAAAAAAAAAAAAAAAAAATCCTAACAGGGAGGCCAGCCACTATTTAGTACCTCTCTTTGATAAGGAAGAACCAAGTCAAATCCCAATCGATAAAGTTCTTTCAAATAAAGTTTGCTCCAACACTTAAATCTCAACCCCCAGGAGAGCAGGCTTAAAGGGGCTAAATTTCCACCACTTATCACACAATGATGCCTGAAATGCAGAACAAATACTAAGTGGAAACACCTTTATAGATATGGCTTAAAAGCTTTTTGGACTGACAAACCATAAACCAGCTTGATTTTATTATTTCTTTCCCCTCAGAGAATTTCTTTTCTCCATTACAAGGCTATCTTTCTCTATTTGTCAATGTACAGATAAGTAAGCTATCTCACAGGCTCATTTCCCTAATACCAGAGCTGTACTGCCCAAACTGTTCCCACAAAGAATCACAGAGCTCTTCAGATTCAAAACACTTTACCAATTCCCACTCTGCTTCTGAGGAATAGCTGGAGATTGTGGGAAAAACAAAGCTTGTCTTAAGAGGAACAGAAATAGGCTAGAAACAAAGATGGCTACCTACCGGCCAGAGCATTATTTTGTTATCAAAATGATGC